AATAGTTGTCGAGGGAGGACTTGATGAATGGACCTGCTAGATGCAGCGGTGGTGCATTCCAATGCAACATCACTTCTTCGTCTAAGGATTCGTGATCCAGAACTCGATTACCATGAATGTGTTGCTTGCATGAGTTTGTTGCTTAGCAACAAACTCAAAAGAATGATTTATATCCTATAGTTAATTATGAAGAGAACAAGATTTTCTCTTCTAACACTCTTTTTGCAAAATTTTCCCATTGTGACAATTTTAAAATTTCTTCCAATATGCCAATTTTCAAAAAATTCCCCACCATAGTACTTTTCAAAAATTTTCCCCATCCGCGCGGGTGCACACGAGGAAGATTATGCACCTCTGGTCATTGACTTACATAAATATATGTTCTAGTGGAACATCGCTTGAATGTCTAGACGGTTGCATTTTTACTACAACGATTAAATTCGAAGACAATGCTTTAACTCATACGACATCTTTAGTTTAACTTCTTGCCAGTACAGAGTAAAGTTTGAAGTTTCAGTATAACAGTCCTGCGCAAAATTATGAAAACAATTTGTTTTTAATGGTTTATTCTCGATCTAATACTCAGAGCAAATCCGACACGTGATTTTAAGAGCTTGAAGAGTTTTCAATCAGGAAAGGTATGTATACAAGCTTCATTAATATTTGCTAATATAGAATCTGTAGAAAACCAGACTTTCTGTGCTCCACTGGAAACTGTTTACACAACATTTAGTCGTAGGGAACAAACGTCTAAGCTCTCCACAAGATTCGTATGTTAAACTCTACTAATTTTTAGATAGGTCTCAAAGGCAGTTTTTAATGTTTTCATATTGATTTTTCCTGGTTGATGGGCTGAAAGCAACTGGATAAAAATTATTAACTAAATGTCCCACAACCGGTACTAATACTGGTTCACGGTTCTTCATCAAGGAGCAACTGTAACAAAAATTCTATAGAAAAGTATTGCTCTGCACGAGGTCGTCAACAAACTTTAATGGCTTGTACTTTAATTAATTCATCTGAGTGAGAAAAAGGGTAAAATATACCGGGAAATACCGTCAAATGCCTACTTTGGATAAAAACCAAGAGTTTAGTTCCTTAGCGTCAATTGACAAATATTAATGAAACTTTCGTACACATTAATCCTAACTGAAAACTCTTCAAGCTGTTAAACTCAGATGTTGGATATGTTCTAACTGTTAGATCAAGTATAAACCATTTAAAACAAATCCTTTCTATAATTTCGCATAGAAGCAGAGCTGGACAACTCCAACTCCGAAGTTGGAGTTAACTCCGGAGTTGAGGATTTTTTTGGTGGAATTAGAATTAAGATTTTAGGAGGTTGGAGTTGGGTTTTTGAATTTTTATTCTCAACTCCGTTTTGCATTTTTGGAAATATTCAATGGCTGTAAAAACTGATCTTCTAAATGATTGAGTGACTGTATTCACGAGTGAATTCGGAAGTTCTTTGTGCTTTCCGACCGAAAAAAGCTCAAAAACGTCCAAAATCCTGCTAAAAACCGAAACATTTTCCTTACAAAAGTGAAGCAACCGGAGTTGAACCGGAATTGAGATTTTTGTTGACGGAGTTGGAGTTAGAGTTGAAAAATTTTGAACGGAGTTAGATCGGAAATTTGAAAACGGAGTTGAATTTGAAAGTCAGCGGCGTTGCCTAGCCCTGCATAGAAGTATATGTGTGAGTGAATAAATGTGATTGTTTATCGACAAAAACCGTCACTATGAGCGCACATTTCTATAATGACATAGAGGTCCACATAACTCGATAGTCAGCACAGTCACCATTCTAGGGTTTATTTGTAGAAACTAATATTTTTTGCCTTTCTTCAACTAGATGCATCTATGTGGCTATGAGTCATAGAGGTAATATTTCGTTTTATTCAGAAGTTTTTCGTTTCTGTTTTTCTCTTTTTCAATTTTGACCTTTTTTTACTAAAGCAAACATCTTGTTGCGCTAAACGGAGAAAACAACCGAGGAACAAATTGAATAGAGACAGAACGATAATATCTGAAACCTTATACAATAATAGAAAACGTGTGGAACATACTGGTGGTATTTTTGACGACAAATAGATAATATATAACTTTTCTGTAATATCAGTCTTGTGGCAGTCGATTTAAAACAAATTTTACTTAGAGCAAAAATTTCAGTTGTTCACATAACACTAGCATGGGAACGACATGCAGCCGATTGCATCCAAAAGGTTTGTGACACTAACCGAATGTCGAAAACTCGTTTATGGAAAATAGCCTTTATCTATTGAAAAAGTTTTTGAAGCATAAAAAAAGCATCTATTACACTTTAGATCGATCCATGAATGAAATTTTTGTCAAGGGTAATGCCTCCACATCCGATATATCTTATTTTGAAGGCGAAGCTGATTTAATTGATGAATTTATCCAAAAACATGATCAGTTCTCTATGTTGCAGTCAATACTCGGTTGTATTTACGGTCAAGCATTGGGTGATGCCTACGGTCTTGCTACAGAGTTCGAAACAAGATGCAGTATCGACAAATTGTATCCCGATGGTCGTGAGATTCCATTTCCAAATTTTATTACAACACATCATTCACGACGATGGATGAAGGGTGACTGGACCGATGACACTGATCAGTGGATACTAATTATGGAAACGATCATTGAACAAGAGGGAGTAGTTGATGTTAAAGTATTTGCGAAAAAACTTCTCCACTGGATTCATCATGGTTTTCCACAGTTGAAGGATTTTGGTGGTTTAGGTTTAGGACAAAATGTATCAATGGTCTGTTCACATCGTGATTTTCTCGAAGATCCTCATAAAGCATCGAAAGATATCTGGGAACGAAACAACCGCAATATAGCACCCAATGGTGCGATTATGCGATGCTCCATTTTAGGCTTATATCAGTATGAACAAATTAACCAAGTAATTGCCAATACTGTCAATATTGCCAAAGTAACTCATTTTGATCCGCGATGCCAAGCCTCTTGTTTGGTTGTTAATCTTTGTATTGCTTATTTATTGCAAAATCCAAAGGGAGATATCGAAGACATTGTTCGGAAAGCAGAACATGAAACAATTAACTGTCTAGGAGACAGCTTGTCCAAAGAGCAGAAAACAGAGTTTCTTTGGTACACAAATATAGATCGTACACTTGACGATTTGAAACTTGATGAGTCGTCGTCGATTGGGTATACTTATAAATGTATGGCATCTGGATTCCACGGTCTACGCTCAGAAGAATCGTTTGAACAGACTCTTCATAAGCTCATTCGAGAAGGTGGTGATGCTGATACTAATGGAGCTGTTTGTGGTTCACTTTATGGGACGAAACATGGCTATAAAGCATTACCCAAACCATGGTTACAAGCATTACCTTATAAAAAGTGGCTCGATCAAAAAGTCATGCAATTTCTACCATTAATCAATCTGCAACCGTCTTCATCATCGGAAATGATTACCGAGAAACTTTAGCATATATGTAGCTTATAAACATTATGAAATAAAATAATGGGGGAAGATGTTGGCTGTTACATTCAAAAAGCATGTCACAGTTTATGCTTTGTATCGCTTGGCAGTTTATAACGGTTGAGGCATAAAGAATTGGCTGGTCTTTGCTATTGATATTATAGCTTCCTGAAATGTATTATTTAAACAAATTATATCATGAAAAATTTTTCATGACGAAAAATTACTGAGCTTTTCACGAAAAAATGAAAATCGACGAAAAGTTTCGAAATATATACCATTCGACTCAGTTTTTGATGGTGATTCTGAATATGGTATTTTTTATTGCATAACAAGTGAGTTGTGGTGGAGAAAAATGAGAATTACAGACAGACTGCTGATTATTTCGCTTCTGATCTATCTAGAAAATGAATTTTCTCAGTGAGGAAAAGGAATTTTTAGAAAAGCTTTTCTTAACTTGGAAAAACAAGTTAGAGCATTCCATCTCGTAACATAATTTTAAAAAAGACAAAAAAATGTCTGTTTTTGACACCTTTCGAGCTTTTTTAATTTGTCGACCGGAAAAAGTGTCAAAAATAATCAGGGCATATATATTCTTGACCGCCTTGAAGTTCTCTATCCAACGGTGTATGATATATTCGAAAATAAGTTTCACTGCAAGTTTGCTTTCCATACATCCTACAAAGATTTGAAGTACTGATCGGAATTGTACTCTACAAAAGACGGTACCGATTGCTCATCGAAAATAAAGTCACATGATAGAAAGAACGATACTGCCGTAGCATTTGAGTAGAGATATTTCTTTGACTTTAGTGGGATTCTTGTAATAAAATCTTTTTTCCACATCATATATAATAGCAAACCAATTTGCGTACCAAAATTATCCATATACTCTGTGATGCTAAGTAGGGCCTAAAGTTTGAGCAAACAATGTTATAGTAACGATACATTATAACGACAAGACTCCATCTGATACAATCGTGCAATAAACTAACAGTATCTATATTTGCAATGGTCGCCAATGAAACCAAGTGTACTGTATCTCGACATAGATAGATGCAGTTTTATCGTGAACTGCGTAACTTTTCTGAAAATCAGTATAAATATATGAAAACAATGTTTATGTGGATGTTCAGCTAATCAACTTGACTCTAATTTTTGCCAGTTGGTTGAGTAGCTCAGATTGCAATTGTTTGCTTCTTATTCAATCGAGAAAAGTCTTTAGCTTTGGCACGTGCACACGTTAGTTATCACAATGATGGTAATTTAAGGATGACAGTAAACAGAGAAACTTGTTGCATGGATATATGTGCCTAGGCATCATATGTAATTCATTTAATATTTAGCGCTTGGAACTGTTAGGTATTTTTTATTACATAATTTCTAAAAAGTGTTGAGAGAATTTAATTACAATAGTTAAAAAGTCGTAAACTAAAAGCCATAAATTCAAAAGCTGACAATCATTTCATAAAAAACAAGTGTCAAATACAGATCTGTTTCACGTAAAAATTGCGCTCCGAAGAAGTTTAGTCCAAACGATAAAAACATAAGCATTCATGTATAGCAAACATGGGTGCAAAAAGTATAATAATAATTGTTTATAGGCCAATGTTTATTTATGGGAGGTTAGTGTTGAGCGTGTACACAATATAAAACTACTCGTTACCTTGACACGAAAACGGCTATTTAATTAATTTAATTATGGCATTTAATTAACAAGCGCAGTTCAGGTTTACTTTGGTGTGTTATATGTAAGAATTAATAAACAATAGTCTATAGAAAAAAATGAATAAAACGAAGCAGAGAAATATTTAATATATCTTTTCTCTTATACAAGCATCAAACAGAAGCCCTTTACATTCTAACAATACGATTGCTTCGATCATACTTTTGACGGCTTCTCTAAGCAAATATACACTTAACAAATTCGAAGAAAGAAGATAAGAAATTTCACCACCAAACAACATTTTATTAGAGACAAAAACAACAGAATTTCATAAAAAACCTTTTGATGAGGCAACCTTTCGAAGCCGGTCATATATTTCTGAGCTAAAACTAAACTTATTGCACAGTTTTACAGTAGAACAGCAAGTAAGTTGATGAAGTGTGGAACAAGTTAGTAACTATGATAAATCGTAGCTGTGACACAAGAAAAAACAAAAACAAAAGCTTTTGTTCAAAGGAAAGGAAAAGTACTGACAAAGAATGAATATAGAGATACCTTAAGCTGGTTAAACACAGATGTCCATGCCGTTTGACGGCACTCATCGAAAATATCGAGATTATCTCTCTCTGAGAAGGTTATTCTACTTCTCTGTTGCATCAGACAAAAGCGATGAATTAGTTGTTTTCCTTGTGAAGTTTGGAATCTGTGCAAAACAGCGTTGTAGAAAAAACTCCACCGGTTAGAGAATGACCAAAATGGTACTATTACCAATGATTATTTCGTGAAAAGGCATTGATCTAATGAGTTTTCTTCTCACAGTGAGACTGGATAATTGAAGTAAGATATATGCTACATGAAATACAGTGATTACAGATCATATGCGCAGCTAATATAATGATAGATGAGGGTTTAGGTAGATTTCTTTAGAAGACAATTAAATGTGACAGTTGCACTGCAAAAAATACCTGTGCCCAGGTAAAATGATCGCTTCTTGTTCTGAGTGACTGTTAAGAATGGCTGCGGCCATTGTACCCAAAACACACATTTTTTTGCGTATAGCGACTGGATACACAGAAGCATGCAACATGGTCAAAGAGTCCAAACACATTAAACACATCCTGCTGAAGCCAGTGACGTATCCGAGATTTTTCCAAGAGGGATAGCCAGACACGTTTTTAGTCGTTTCTTCGGTGATTTTTAGGAAAACATTTTTGCTCTATGTCTCGGTTTTCTTTCCGTAGTTGGAATTTAGGCCCGGTCTTCTATTTATGGCAGATCACCCAGTACATGCAGGATGCATCTCTATTCTAGAAGTGATATGCGTAAAGTTTTAGATAACCTAAACATACGCACAAATGAACTTTTTAAATTCAGTGTACGTTCAGTTTTTCATCTATTCATCTATAAATTTTCTCTATAGCTTTCTTTCATCTGCATCACTAAATTTTTGTTTTATTTCTCCAATAACTTTCTAATGTACTTTTCTGGGTCGCTGATTCTTTTTCATTTTTTTTCGAAGGATAGTAAGGTACTTTTACTTATATCACAATGGAACAGTAGAAAAATGAGAAGGAATCACGTTCTATGACATATTACTCAATTACAGTTATTTTCTCTCCAAGAAAGAGAAGAAGCCAAAAGTTAACAAATGCAAAATTTGGAATGAGAGTATACAGAATCAATGAAGATCGTAGCATCACATATGTATGAAAATTAACTTATCTTTTACTCTCCTCAACTGCTCAGTTCTTATCCTATGATTTTCCATCAGACGTAGTATGAAGTGATTTTTTAATCGAAGGACAGAGTGTGCATTTTTGTATAGGCCAGGGGGACATTTGCTACAGAAGCAGTCCGAAAGTCATCAAAACTGGAGCTTCGCTAAAGTTCGCGCACGCATTATATCAAATACGCCTCATCGGAAAACACGCTAGAAAAATGTTTTATTTTTTTCTTCAACTGAGAAAGTGCAAAAAGAGCACTTATTTTCATTTTTTCACCAAAAGCCGACCTGGATACATACCCCTGTGAAAGAGGGGGAAACTGCGCACCGCTGACTGTAGCGCACGCGAAGTGCTGTCCGTTTCAAAGTAGTATGCACTGGTTGTTTTTCCTATCACACCAGAACGAAAAATGGTAGAGACTGACGGTTTTAATATAAAAAAAAGAAGAAACAGAAAAGCATAGCATTTTTCCTTGTTGAGGTGTACACATATGGAAAAAATGTTCATCTTTCTTTCTCTTTGGTCTTCACAACTTGAAATGTAGTTCTTACTGTGAACAAAAAAAAATAGTATCCCCATCTACAAGCATCCTTTTTAAGTGGCTTTTAACTAATTTGAGATTTTTCAGAAGGTTCCTGAAAAATCTCAAAGCGTCAGTGTTCTGCTGGACCACTTTTTAGACGTGATCAACAATATATGGCATCTGTTGAGTGTTTCCTGAAAATTTCCTTGGGTTAGCATAAGATTTGATAGAAATATAAAGATTTTATTTTTTGCTAGTAACAGGCGAGAGATCGGTTTTTCACAAAAATGCCTTTGACGAAGCTATTTTGATTTCTACACGAAAGCAAATGTTGCCACTATGCTCAGCGTAGTCGATTACCTATACTCCATGGCATTTCAAGATTCCCAGAGATGTCTGCTCGGAGATAGACATGTGCTCGGGGAACGACGACTGCTGGAGAGCCGGGACTGGCATAATTTTGTAGAGTAACGTCCGGACTGTCTACGCATGCAAAAAAATTACTAACATTGTATGTTAGCTTCCTGAGAACGGAACTGATTTTCCAAAGATCCTCTTGGAAAATCGACTTTAAATTTCTTTTTTGAGAGTATTTTTTGCATGGCTATATGCAAAAAAGTGTTGGCTATCGATCTGCGAAAACCGAAGATCGATATCTCTTTCTATAGGGGAGTTATTCAAAATTTAGTCAGGGACATTGCTTTTTGAAAACGATAATAGTTAAGGTCCCGTCTCGTGCGTTTTCATTCTCTCCTTTATTGATGCTAGCTCTCTCTCTCTCTCTGGTTCGACTAGGTAATAATTCCTTTTGATTACTGTTGTACTGACAGGATACTTTCGCGATCATCAGTTTAATACATGATAACTAAAAGAGCATGTCCTGAAACATACGTACATCAACAATTATCACATTTGACTTTGATGCCTAAAACAAATCATTTCTTATTCTTATGTACGCTGACTTTTATAGTTTGATTAGAAGTAAAACAGAAAATTTTCTCACGTACAATGTATTCTTTATCAAAATCTTAAAGTTTTTATTATTATCTGATGACTCATGATGAAGTGCCATATATTCATACATAAGAAACAG